TAAAAAAGTTAACCCGGTAACATTTCGCCTCGATATCATGAACCGACATATCCTCGAGAGAAGAGAGTATCTATTCTCGAAAATATAAATATAATATTTCGAAAAATGTGAAAGATGAAGAAACAAAAAAAAAAAATATGATTTTCCACGACTCTTCGATTTTTCTTCTATATATCGTTAAACTTTCTTTCACTACCCATCATCGTATTCTTTTCGATTCTTGACATTATATCGTTAATAATATTTTGCTTGATCAAATATTCCCTCTTTCGATCGAACGACGTTTTACAGTCACTCTCTTATTTATTAAAAAATCTACAAAGGAATCCTTCCTTCGCTTTTTCTTTTATATATCGCTACATTTTTAACGCTTCTTCACTATCCATCTATATTCTCCTCGATTCTTGACATTATATAATCGTTAATAACACGTTTCATGAAAATATTAATTGATTAAATATTAAAATTCTCCACAATTCGCTCTTTCGACCGAAACCACTCTTCTATTTATTAAAAAAATTTTAATAGACAAAGAAATCCCTCCTCTCCCTTTTCGATGCTAAACGATACTTTAAAGAGAGAAACTTAGAAAAAAAAAAAAAAAAAAAATGGAAAGGAAAGGTTGAGTCTGTCCGTCGAAGGAAAGAAGGTAACCTTTGCACGACCACAGATGCGCGGCGAAAATGAAAATACCAAATCCCCGCCAAATTCCTTTCCTTTCCTTTCCTTTCCTCGGCCCATCCGTCCAACCGAGAAATAACTGCAAATAACGTTCGGGGATTACTTAGTTACCGCGATACACTTGTGGCCCCCTCCCCTCCCCCCTGTGTCGCTTGGTTGCAGTAACTGGGTTTTCCACTTCCTCTTGTCCCTTCGTGGCGGATATCTATGGATACACGTGTACGTGTACACAGTGTCGATGTCGTCGAGAAAAAGAGAGAGAGAGAGAGAGAGATTTTGGCGAGTCTGTTCACAAAGTACGGATCTGTCCCACTCGACACGTTCACCAACAAGGGGGAATTGAAAAGCTGGCTGGCAATCCGGATGGCTTATCCCGCTCGAACCCTGCATCCGTCGCTGTCTTCTCCTCCCTTTCTTTCGTTTCTCTCTTCCTCGTCGATCCCTTCATTTACCCCCTTCATCAGATAATTATTGCTAATCGTTCCTTCCTTGTTTTACGCGATTTATTTAATATCACGTATATAATTTTAAAGCTCGAATTTTCGTCCCTGGAATTCTTTAAAGTAGGTAATAATTCTTTAAGGTAGGTAATAGTACTACGTTTCTCTCTTTCTTTCTCTCTTTCTTTCTTCCTCATTTACCCTTTATCGTATAATTATTGCTAATCCTTTATCGTTTCTTCTTCGTTTTATCGCGATCGTGGTAATGATCGAGTAAAATTTTAATACTCGAATTTTCGACCCTGGAATTTTTTAAAGTTAAAGTTAAAGTAGTTAGGTAATAGTACTACGTTTCTCTCTTTCTTTCTCTCTTTCTTTCTTCCTCATTTACTCTTTATCGTATAATTATTGCTAATTCTTTATCGTTTCTTCTTCGTTTTATCGCGATCGTGGTAATGATAGTAAAATTTTAATACTCGAATTTTCGACCCTGGAATTTTTTAAAGTTAAGTAATTAGGTAATAGTAATATTTTCACTTCGGATCAAGTAAGCAATAAATTTTCGACTGGCTGACTTTCTTCCTTATTTACCCTTTATCATATAATTATTGCTAATCCTTTATCGTTTCTTCTTCGTTTTATCGCGATCGTGGTAATGATCGAGTAAAATTTTAATACTCGAATTTTCTCTGGAATTTTTTAAAGTTAATTTTTCTGGCTTATTATTATATCGAAGAGACAATAATAATTTCAATTTCAACTTCTCAATATTAAACAAAGAATTTTCAACACCTTCCAAAGAATTTCGATCCCCAATAGTATTTCCTCCCCTTTTCCTCCAGCTCAAACAACCATCGACACCTCGAGTCGAGAGAATTCGAAGGAACTCTCTTTCTCTCTCTCTTTCTCTCTCTCTCTCTCTCTCTCTCTCTCTCTCTCCCCCTTCAACTCCGTCCTAATATTAATGATCGGTATACAGGAATTCCCTACTCGTTACCATCGATGCACCATCGTCTACCCATGTAAATCGTGACACCAAGAAATACCAGATACCGGAGAGAAAGAGAAAGATAGACGGACAGATCGAAGAGAGAGAGAGAGAGAGAGAGGGGGATAATAGAGATAGATAGATAGATAGAGAGGCTAGGACAGGGCGAAGAGGGTGTGAGAGTTTCCTGCCACGTAATACTACTCGACGTCCCTAGAATTTGCTCTGCGGTCTGACTGCTCGTGCGGCTGCCCCCGTCAATTGCGATAATTATTGTGTCAGTAAATACTCCGTAACCATACGAACTAACGGGCTCGCGCGATCGACTGGACGTAATATGCTCACAGAGTAATATGTGGATATACACTTATGCCGGCGATATAATTAAATGAACGACCGCGTTCATAACCGTGTCACGCGACCACCGCCGCCTCATCGCCGTGCCGCGGCCAAGAATCGAGCGTGCCGGAAATTAATTATTGTGTCCTTGGTCTGTCGTAGCTATCGTCGCGCGCCAATTCCATTTCAACCATGATGATTTCGCCCGTTTCGTGGATTTCGAACGATCAGAGAGGGAGAGAGAAAGAGAAAGAGTTTTTTAATTAAGTTTTTGGATGGAGAAACTAAATTTTATTTATTTAGTCAAATACTTTTTGTTGATTATCGAAAAGTGAGATTTTTTTAGAGGTTATTTTTAGATTTATATATCGTGAAATTTTTACGCCGATATTTTCAAAGTTATAATTTTTATTCGAAACATCATTGAAAGAAAAAAGAGAGAAAGAGAGAAAGAGAGAGTCATTGGCTTCAATGGCGTTTTTCTCAAAGTGAGATTTTTTTAGAAATTATTTTTAGATTTATATATCGTGAAATTTTTACGCCGATATTTTCGAAGTTATAATTTTTATTCGAAACATCATTGAAAGAAAAGAAAGAGAAAGAGAGAGTCATTGGCTTCAATGGAGTTTTTCCCAACGAGAATTCCATTTTTATGAAATTTTTATGCATTCGTGGCGAAGAAATTTCTCGAATGCCGAGATCACAGCTTTAATATTTTTTAAAAACAATTGTAAATGAAACAATGGAAATATCTGGTGGATGGGTTGAGATCTCATATTTCGACTCGGCTAATTTTTGTAATTTTGTGTCTATCTCTATGCTGTTACGATTTTGACATTCGTTTAGGATTTTCATCAGCGTCCAACTATTGTCCAGATTATCGTATAGCATCCATTTCTCGTCGCAGGTTACAATTCTATTCAAAAATGGAGTTCTATCGTTTCGAGTTTTTGATCCTCCTTTTCTTTTACCCATTGCACCCAAATGTGTCATTGCAGATACTCTGCCTTCTCCACTTTGCCTTTCTATTTATCTTCCTTCAATATGGATTATTTCGATCTATCTCATTTTCAATATTCACGTTTCCATATCTGAATTTTTGAAAATCAGAACGATCCTCTCATCTTGATAAAATCGTCTCCAAAACCTAATATATTTCGATATTAAGCAATTCAATTGCATCAACTTAAAAGAACAATATTCTAAATTCGTTCGCTTCTCAATAAACAATTAAACTAAAATACAAAAAAGAACTTTTATTACACAAAGGGGATCTGATTTTGATATAACCAATTTCCTCCTTCATCTTTATTTAATTCAATTTATATCTGTACCTCATCGAAAGATGATAGAGAAAGTATATTTAATAAAGTATTTATAATTATTGTTAATTAATATAATATATCGATGATAATAATAATAATACGTATAATAATAATAATATAAAAGTATACATTTATTAATATTATTTTAATTATTTTTTTAAAATTTTATTAAAATTTATCAATCATTTATTAAAATTTATTTTAATTATCAACTATTTAATATAAAAGTATACATTTTTCTCGATCTCGTGAATTAATGTACAACTCGGTTTAATTCGATTAACCCGTGTTTGTAAATTTGTTTGCCAGGTATCACGTAACTCAAAGTTATCTCGTTTTTCGTTTACAGAAGGGGGACAGTACAGTCGGGTGGAGCTGGTTTTTCTCCCAACATAAACACACTCGATTATTGAACGATAAGAATATATAGGTTTATTCACTACTCAATGATTAAGGATCATGGCTCTAATGTATTACTTTCTATGGATGTTTGTCGATAGATGTATGCCATACATACATACACATATATATATATATATATTTTCTCAAATATATCTCAAGGGGTCAAGATATATAATAATTGAACTTCCTTTTCCATTTTTTCTAATACGTTAATCGAAGGGACCAGAGACAACATCAACAAAAACTTCGTTTCTTCGTCTCCTTTAACCGTTGTGTATTCTTCTTCGACGGGGCACGTGCACGAGTATACACCATGCCGTGATTCGAATTGGGGCGCGATTGTTGCGAATATGTTTGCGCGAGGTGGTCGACGCACGTTTTTTTTTTTTCTCATTCGCCGAGCGTGTCAAGTGTTTGCCGACCTATCGGCTCGTGATAATGGCAAAAAACGATGGGACCTTTGATATACAACTTCGTTACGTTCGAAGGGCGCAACAATGGACACGTGGCGTCCTTCGAGAAACATTACACTGTCACGCTCTCCCATTAATGGAGCCTCGATTAATTGATAATTACATTACTTTTTTTCTTCTTCTTTTTTCAAAGATATTTCGACCCCCTCCCTCAAATTCAAACGCCCCTTAGATCTTAGATCTTGTCGAAATCATTCTCGAACGCCTCCTCACTTTATTCCTCCCTATTTCCTATTATATATTCAGATATTTGATTCAATTACACAATTTCATTTCAATCAGGGGATTACAGAGGGAAAAATGAAATAATTGTTTCGAGAATGTGGAAGAATTTCGTCGAAGGATCACTTACGGTTTCTCTCGGGGGGCTCCAGCACTGGGGCGAGTTGCGGCCGCTGTGACTTCCGCCGGAAGTTGCGGAATTCGAGACGGAATGGTGAAGGTTCTGCGGGGCGATGTTGAGGGGCGTCACCGAATCGTCCTCGGTCGTCTCGATGTCCACCTCGTCGTCAGAGTTGTCCTCCTTGTGGGACGCGGGGGTGCGTTCCGAGGGGTGGTCCTGGGCGACAGGTTCGACGATCGGCGGCCCACGAATCACGGGGCGAAAGGCGGATTGATGCAACGACGGGTTCACCGTTGGTATGAGCGGTTCCGTGGGGCTGGAACCGCTTATCGGCGGTGGTAGAGGCCCTGAACAGAGGGAAACAGGGGGGAAAAATTGATATTACGCTAATTGGCGTAATTGTTTAATTATTGTCGTGGGATGGAAATTATTAAATCGGAAAGATTAGACGGGTGGTTGAATTTCAACGGAATGAAAAATCGAGGATCGTTCCCCTTATGAAAACGGAAAGATCTATTTCCGCAATCTTTCGAAATATTTCGTCTATTTACTCGTATTTCGCGTATTTTATAATTTTGTCGGGGAATAAACGCGATACGCGTGGAGGATATATTTTCGATAATCCTGGTGGTGGCAATGAATTCGAAACATTAACTAACGATATTTGTTCCGGTTAAGCTAATCCTCTAAATAGCGTGTTCATTTACGGCTAAAATTTGTTCCGAGTAACTTTTCCACGCCACTCGAATTAATATGTATACGTATATATATGGTCAAGGTAAAATTTTGCCTACTATTAGTTAAAATAAATTTTAACCGATTAATATAGGTAAAGTTTGCCGCGTAAATCGAAACAGGGAGCAGGAATCGATCGATCCCGAGTGCGGCGGGGAATGTAGGGCCCGTGTATAATGAATAATTATTATATCAAAGACCATTATTTTACACGCACAACGCGATCGTCACTATTGCACCGATTAATAATATTCACATAGCACTCTTCACATTCATATTTCCCCTGTAATTATACTAATGAATCCCGCCTCGGCAATGTATAAAATAATTTATGCTCGCAACGCGCGCGTAATCCGCTTTATTATACATTACCGTCTAAACTATGTAATACGTGGATATTAAATATCCGAATATGAATTACGTTTATACCTTGTTCTCGGGGCGAAAATTTATCATTAATTATAATATTGAAAATTCTATCGTACGTATTCGTTTAACCTTACTTCTTTCTTACATAATTCAAAAATCGAAGTCTCATCGATTCTTAAAAAAAAATCACATTATCTTATTAACTCATCTTATTTCAAATTTTCTACTTATATAATTCCCTCAAAAATTTCATCGATTTTTAAAAAATTATACAATCATTTATCAGTTTCCTTAATTTAGTTTAAACTTATTTTAACTTGTTTCAAATTCTTCCCAAATATATTCATAAAATCTATTCATTAACAAAGAAACCTTCGCAATTCCCTTTTGACTAATTTCGTACATTTCCAAAAATTCATAAAATCATTAAGTTTATTTCAAATTTTCCATTTATATAATTCGCTCAAAAGTTTCATCGATTTTTAAAAAATTATTTATCAGTTTCTTTAACTTATCCTAAATTTATTTTACTTTATTTCAAATTCTTCCCAAATCTATTCATAAAATCTATTCCTTAATAAAGAAATCTTCCCAATTCCCTTTTGACTAATTTCATAAATTTCTAAAAATATTTCATAAAATCATTAAGTTTATTTCAAATTTTCCATTTATATNTTATTTCAAATTCTTCCCAAATATATTCATAAAATCTATTCCTTAATAAAGAAATCTTCCCAATTCCCTTTTGACTAATTTCATAAATTTCTAAAAATATTTCATAAAATCATTAAGTTTATTTCAAATTTTCCATTTATATAATTCGCTCAAAAATTTCATCGATTTTTAAAAAATTATTTGTCAGTTTTTTTAACTTTATTTTACCTAAATTTATTTTACCTTATTTCAAATTCTTCCCAAATCTATTCATAAAATCTATTCCTTAATAAAGAAATCTTCCCAATTCCCTTTTGACTAATTTCATAAATTTCTAAAAATATTTCATAAAATCATTAAGTTTATTTCAAATTTTCCATTTATATAATTCGCTCGAAAGTTTCATCGATTTTTAAAAAATTATTTATCAGTTTCTTTAACTTATCCTAAATTTATTTTATTTTATTTCAAATTCTTCCCAAATCTATTCATAAAATCTATTCATTAATAAAGAAATCTTCCCAATTCCCTTTTGACTAATTTCATAAATTTCTAAAAATTCATAAAATCATTAATATTATTTCAAATTTCCTATTTATATAATTCATTCCAAAATCTCATCGATTTTTAAAAAAAATCACACAATCACTTATCAATCATTATCAATTTCCTTAACTTATTTTACCTTATTTCAAATTCTCCCCAAATCTATTTAAAATCACACAATCACTTATCAATCAGTTTCCTTATCTTATTTTATCAGTTTCCTTAACTTATTTTACCTTATTTCAAATTCTCCCCGAATCTGTTTAAAATCACACAATCACTTGTCAATCATTATCAATTTCCTTAACTTATTTCACCTTATTTCAAATTCTCCCCGAATCTATTTAAAATCGCACACAATCACTTATCAATCATTATCAGTTTCCCCGACTCACCCCTAAACTTATTTTAAACCTTGTTTCAAATCTATTCCCAAACCATTCAGAAATTCTGCACAAATACTCATCAACAAATAAGAAAACCTTGGCAACACCCCCCTTTCACCAATTCCAATCTCACATAAATTTCATAAAAGATTGGTGGACTCACCGGGAAAGAGGACCGGTCCCCTCTTGGCCAGCCACGGCAAAGCGTAGGGGGAGAAGGGGAATCCGGGCGTCTTTGCCGCGGCGACGGCGGCGGCCTGTTGATGCTGGTGCCACACGTAGTCCATCACCAGGCTCCTTGACAGCGGTAAAGGTAACTCCGGGAACGGGGGCACCCGCGGATGGGTGGGCGAGGGGACGAGCGTGGGTATCTGAGCGGTGGGCGACGATCTCGGCTGCTTGGCAGGGCTCGGCGACTCCCTCGAATTCGGGTTGTTGAGCAATCGTTTCCTGGTCCCCCCGTTGAACATCGCCTTCACGTCCTCCCACGCGTGCACCACCTCGTCCGGCGGATTCCCGGACAGCTTCATGTGGCGCCGCCACGAGTTGAAGTTGGCCGCGTCCGGCTGCACGTACTTGTCCGACGGCCCGATCCTGTGCGAGTGGAATATGAACTTGTTCGGCGAGAAGAAGAGGCCGCAGTAGGCGCACTTTATGCACTTGGCGCGGGAACTGTTGTAACGCGCCGGAAGGAACGCGCCCCGGCAACCCCACGCGCACTCGTGGTGCACCGAGAAGGCGAAGTCCTCGGGTAGCCTTCGAACAGATGAGAAACTTAATCGAGAGATTAAGATTTCTTGATCATTTTATATATATATATATATTCGAATATTTTAGTATTGATTCTCGATACTCCAATTGTTATACGTTCTTCAGAATTCGTTTATTATTATCGTAAGAATCTCGCGCGTGATGACAAAGATGCAAGGAGCATTTTCTTTTGGTGTTTACTTATTTATTATCTACCGAAAGGGTAGGTGAGAAACTGGTTTTTCGTTCCGACGTTAAAGATGCGTTCTGGAATACCAGGATCGAGTAGCAACTCGAGAAAATTGTTACGAATTTGTTATTGAGAAAGTGTTTCGATATTTGAAATAGCAATCTGTGTATATACTTTTGGAAAAGATTCTTGCTGTCAGTTTTGACGATCTTTGAATCTCGAAAGCCTCGAATTTCTTTTTTTGCTTTCTGGTTTGCTCACGAGAATTTTGGAAGGATTAACCAACCTGGGGGGCGCATTGTCGCCGAGGAACGATTTGCAGAGGCGCTCGGCTTCCCTTCGGGTAATCATGCCGCATCTCCTCGACGAGACCGGCATGGCACCGGCACGGCGGAGGATTTCCAATTGGACGGGGGTGCACTGGACGCAGGTGATGCCCAACGCTACCCTTCGGTTGTGGATCTCGTTGTAGCTGAACTGCTTCAGCAACGTGTTGCTGATCTGGGCCAGGCAGAGCCTCTCCTGGCCCTCGATCACCAATGACACGATGTGAATTCCGTAAAGGGACACGGTGCCCACCTGCAACTCCTGACGGTTTAGATTCACAACGTGGCCTTACACGATTTACTGCTATAAAATCGAAGCGAATTTAACATTTACATTTTTCTATTTCTTATTCCTCTCTTTATTTTCTTCGAAACCATGGGATTATTATATAATAGAATTTCGCTTATTTATTCTCGCGAAAATGAAACAGTGGACAGGGTACGTTGTGCGCTAATTTTGCTACCAATCTACTCGCGAAGAAAATTAAGAATAATGATATTATATATAATAATGATAATATTATTTTATATATTAATATAAAATTAAGAATAACGTTGATTGAAAGAAAACGTTATCAGAGACGAATTAATGAGTATTTGAGCGTTTCTTCTTTACAAATAGAGAATAAAACGCGGCTGAATAATCGGTTATTGGATACAATTATAAAACCCCATGTAATATAAAAAACACATACCTGATTGGATTTCGAATGCGACTGCGGCTGCGGCGATTGTGCCGATTTTTGGGGCGCGGTTATCGGCGGCATCGATAATACCGCCGGCCCGTCCATTCTACTGCGAAAAAACAAAAAAAAAAAAAAAAAAAAGAAGAAAAATATTCGAGAAATAACGATCAATTTTCACAACAGACACTCATCATCATCGTCGCCATCTCGCAAACCATCTCTCGGAAATTAAAAATTTTCTCGAGAAATATTCAAATATTCAAATATAAATTTCAAATATAAATTTCAATATAAAGTTCAAGTGAAGTATTCTTATATATACACAAGAGAACATAAGTTCTTTTTTTCCCTTCATCATACTTATTAACGCTCTATCGATCACTCTCGTCAATCAAACGCGAGATATGGATATGGATATTCGCATTCAGTTCGATTAAAACGTTTTTTCTTCCGATGCTCCTGTCTCTTTCAATCAATAACGACTAAAATTGATGTATGTCCATTATTAGAGCGATTAACTTTCGTTCACGCGAGAACGCGAACGGATTTCAAGTGTGATTAAATTCAATTCTCGAATGACGAAAGATCGTTCGATTTTTTCGTTGTTTTTATATATAAACATTTATAAAAAGAACGACAAACTTTTTATGCAACTAATAATGCATCCCGTCTTTTTTAATCTCTTAAAAATTTCATTACAACGTTTATTATATTCTATACATAATAACGAGCAATTTTGCATAAAGCGTTATCGTGATTTGCAATCGATTTGGAATCGAACTCTGAATTCCACCCCGTCAAAGGTGACGCGCACCACGCAGGGCGAAAAGACAGAGAGAGAGAGAGAGAGAGAGAGAGAGGGAAATCGGTGGCGAAAGAAAAAGGTGAATCGACGAGGAGAGACGGCAAAAGAACCGGGTTCCTTATCCTCTTAGACGAAGAGAGGAACGTCTCGCAAGATGGGAGGCGAAATACCGATAAATAAATGCTCCGGGACCGATGGACCAACCTTCCATTAGTTTAACGCGGCAACAAGATTTCATCGGGACTCGCGAGATTCGTGAATTTTTCATGAGGGACAGTCGGCGGTACTGGGGAGGGAAAGGAGGAGGAAAGAACAAAAAAACAAAAAAAGAAGAAACAGAAACAAAGCAACTATCAAAAAATAGAGGAAGAAAGAAAGAAAGAAAGAAAGAAAGAAAGAAAGAAATACAAAAAGTAATAACAAAGAGAGGAGACAGAGCCAACCAGAGGCCAGATACGAGACAAAGAGGGAGAAAAAGTACAAAAAGAAAAAAAAAGGAGAACACGATTTTGCGCAGGTACGAGAGAAAGAGACAGCGTGATCGATAGACGACGTCCAACCAACGACAGAACTGAGACAGAAGAACTGGAAGAGGGAGAAGAGAGAGAGAGAGAGAGAGAGAATACGAGGCAACCCTCGGTGTTGATTTTAATTGAAAACGCCTCCATGAAGGTACACCCGTGTACATCGTGCACCGCTACAAACCGTGGAACGGTGTGCACGCGGATAAAACCCCATCTACAACGAACGGGGGATGGTACAGCCTTGACGTAGAAGCACAGAGAGCGCCAGCGCTCCAGCAAACGTCCCCAGGGACCGTGAAACCAGGGGGTAATTCAATTTGACACCCCCCACCCACGCTTAAACAAGGCAGCACCCATCCGACCCTCCACCTTCGCTCCACCGTCCCACTTCCTCCTTTTCCACTCCTATCTTTTCCTCTCTCTCTCTCTTTCCGTTTTCCACCTTCGTGCTAGCTCCCTCCTTCTCCTCTCTCCAGCTACCAACTATCCCTCTTCGTCGTGCAAATTAAATTCTCATCCACCGTGAAACAATGCCGGTACCCGAGCCGGAACAACCCCCTCCCCCTTTGCGCCACCTCTCTCTCTCTCTCTCTCTCTCTCTCCCTCTCTCTCCGCTCCCCACTATGTAGCGAGCGGCCCACCTGCAATCCCACCGTGTCTACTCCGCACCCTACAACCCTACCCTACCCATTCAACCTCCTCCCCCCTCTCTCCTCTCCTCTCCCCTCCCCCTCTCCACATTGGCTCCGTTGGATGCCGTTGGTCAGCGGTTCGACAGATCGGACTCGAATCGACCGCATTAATTACTCGCTACTTACAATTAGTACAAACTAGAAACGGCCGCGTACCATTCTACTAATGGTAGCGGCGTTGTTTGTTTCTCTATACTTATGCGCCGTTCATTAGCTAATTGAGGGACGATGATTCGAAACGAAGGGGCGAGCTTCTCTTCCGCTTTTCTTCGATTCAATCGTTTTGGAAAGGACGGAAACGAATCACGAATCGACGACGCGACGATCGTTTCGATTATTACCTCCCTCCTCGATACCGTTTCGAGAGGAGGATCAACTTCGTTGGAAAACTCGATCGAACTTGAAATTTTCCCTTTTAATTTTCTTTATTTATTGAATATACTCTCGAATAACGTTTTCATTCGAAAGTTGTATAATCAGATACGATTGGAGGTGCAATCATGATTGTTTAATCAATAGATTAAATTTTTCATTTTTTCACTGAACGATAATAAAACGAGGCGATCCAATTATTATTCGAGCCTCGAATATTTCTCGTTCACGCGAGGACGAAACAACCGGTGAAAATTCTCCTTCTCCTCTATTTACTCTCTTCCTCATGTATATACATATATATATATATANACATGCTATATGGATGTATGGAATGGAAGCTGCGTTTCCACGGGGAAATAAGCGCGCGCGAGTTGCATAGAGCGTAGGCGAGACAAATGGACACGATACAAGGGGATGGTGGTGGGGGAGGAAAGGTGTGTGTGTGTGGAGGGTAGAACGAAGTCGCGAGGATAAGCGTACCCGCGGGCTCGCGGATTATTTAAATGCAAACACAATGTTGTACCGAGGCGCATTGTTCCCCTCTCGGTTATTTTACAATTCAATCTGCGATCCTCCGGCTCCTGGAGGCGGCGGTGGCGGCCGCCTTTCGAGGGTCCAGGCTACGCTCGTTCGTTCATTGTAACGTTGTTAAATCTCTGCGCTTCCATTATGACTACATCGTGCTCTCGTTTCGTATCTCTCTCTCTCTCTCTCGATCTCTTTCCTGCCTTCTCGCAACCCCTCTCCGCGACCTTCGACCTCTCGCTCCTCCCTCGCTCTACCACCCCTCTTGTCTTGTTTTCCATTTCTTGATCCTGATTTTTCTATTTAGGACGTCTCGTCGAGATATTTCGTTTCCCACTCTTTTCAATCTTGTTTTGTATTTTCCTTTTGTGTCGCGGATTTTTTCGGTGGATTCAGTTTTTTCATGAGAGAGAGAAAGAGAGAGAGAGAGAGAAAGAGAGTTCTCTTGAATCATGAAATTATCGAAATCTTTAATAAGTTTTGGTGATAATCTATAGGCGATTCGTAGTATCTCGTTGAAGTGATTATTTAATATCTTATATTTTTTCGTGTGTTTATTCAATTATCTGTAATGAATTTTCAAAGTTTTTCTAAACTTTTTTAAATTCTTCTACAAATTTCTCTTCTTAATTCTTGTCAAATCTGATTTATGTTCTCACGAACCAAAAATAGAGTGTTAAAAATTATTCAAAGTGTCCAATGATCTTTTGGCAAGATTTCGAATTTGATTTTTATTTAAATTTTTCTACATTATCGTAAATCAGTAGAAAAAAAAAAAAAAGTTAATCGGATCATTATGGTTATTTTATTACTCGAACTCACGGATTTTCAAAAGGAAGAAATTTGGCAACAAGATAAATTTAATTTTATTCAACTAGGGTAAAGTTATCATTAATCATCGCAACGAGGGAAAAATCTCTCATCAAGTTAAATTAAGGAGTTAAATATTCTTTTGCCATGTCTCGCCCATATTAAAATTCATTCAAGAAGCTGCACTCGAAGTGGATATGTTTCTCGTCGCAGCAATTTGACAAATTGTGTCCTTTTGTAGTCAGAAATATTTACGTTATCCTAAACGAATTGCATTTTAATCCCTATTTACGAACGTCAAAAGATGACTCGCGTTCCCTCGACAATCTCTCAAGAAGATTACGTAATTTAAACAAGTACCGTCCATTATAATCCACACCCTTAACATCATCCATATCAAAGTATCCTTTCAAAATGAAAATAAATGTAAACAAAAAAAAAAAAAAAAAGAAAGAAACGAATCGAAAATACATTTTTAGATTCCTTTCTTTTTTTATCGTTACCGGTCAAATTATATCATTCTCAATATTTTCCTAAATGAATTCATTTTCACAAATTATATTTCGAGAGTTTCGAAGATCAAAAAGAAAGATCACAGAAAGAAAAAAAGAAGAAACGAATCGTTATCGATCAAATTATATCACTTTCAATATTTTCGTAAGTGAATTCATACAAATTGTATTTCGAGAGTTTCGAAGATCAAAAACAGAAAGAAAAAAAAAAGAAACGAATCGAAAATACACTTTTAGATTCCTTTCTTTTTCTATTGTTATCAATCAAATTATATCACTTTCAATATTTTCGTAAATAAATTCATATAAATTGTATTTCGGGAGTTTCGAAAATCAAAAACAAAAAAAAAAAAAAGAAACGAATCGAAAATACACTTTTAGATTCCTTTCTTTTTCTATCGTTATCGATCAAATTATATCACTCTCAATATTTTCGTAAGTGAATTCATACAAATTGTATTTCGAGAGTTTCGAAAATCAAAAACAAAAAGAAAAAAAAAAGAAACGAACTGAAAATACACTTTTAGATTCCTTTCTTTTTCTATCGTTACCGATCAAATTATATCACTCTCAATATTTTCGTAAATGAATTCATACAAATTGTATTTCGAGAGTTTCGAAAATGAAAAACAAAAAGAAAAAGTAGCACGAAAAAATTATTATATCATTAATTTTCAACCATTGCACGTACAAATATCATTGAAACGGAGGAAAAAAATTCGACGCGAAAAAGGTATCGAGCGAGAAAAAAGAGAGAGAGAGAGAGAGAGAGAAAGAAATGCGATTCGTATGCGCGCGAGAAGATGGCCGACATATTTGCGAAACGGTCGTTCGACGTCGGTCCACGAGATAGAGGAGCGAT